AGAGAGAGAGAGAGGAGAGAGAGAGAGAGAGAGAGGGTGGAGGCTGGCATCAGTCCTCACAGAAAAAGTGAGACGGTTTAGGTGAGAACTACTTGAATATTCATACAATCCCATGAAGAAAAGCTGGATCCATAGTTTTGTTTGTTAATGATTTTTCATAGGGAATATCAATTTTAGCATTGGGACCCAACATATTCTAATCCTACTTTGGTTACGGATGCTGGTTTGGACTGTTTCTTTTAATATAAACGGCACAGGCTCTGGATAAAGGAAGTGTTTGATGTAACCTTTATAGGCTCAGATATCATACTTATATTTTAGACCACAATTATATTGCATATAATATTTCTGATGGTCTAGTTGTAATTCTGATTAAAGATAAGCTATAGTCTTCATTTGGTGCCAGCTGCATAGTTTTCTTAGTTGAAACCAAAATACTCTATACACTGGAAAAAAATTCAACAGAAAAGAAATTATTGCTAAGTTTCCTGCAACAGAATTAACTGTCAGAAAGGGTATATTCTGACAAGCGAGGAAAATTTTCAACCCACGTGAATTTAACAGCAGGAGTCCTGACTCTCAGTGTGTGAACAAAGGGAAGTCCTAGCACTGTGGACAAGCCTTGTGACTCAGTTTAATGCAGCATGTCATAAATTATCCACGTGAGTGCCACAGGAAAGCAAGTTGATTACACAGCCTGCCAGGCATTTTTTTCCCCTCTTGAAACTATTATTATTTTATGCGTTTTCTCACATGCTGTAAATTGGGGGACAGGTTCAGTCTCATGGGAAAGATGGGTCATTTCTAAGTTTCAAGTTCTTGGTGGCATTTTGGTCCTAAGTCGGTTGCACTGCTGACTGTAGGAGAAACACCAGACACAACAATTAAACTATTATGTCACCGATATGTTTACCAATTCCAAAGAAAGATTAATGTCTGATAACTAGTCAATGAAGGTCATAAAAATTTTACACACGTTTTTTATTTTAAACACAATGCTTTGCTTAGATGATTAAACTAATTTCAAATATCTGTCCATTAAATAGAAAGTTAATAAGAAAACTGTTCAAAAAAAAAAAGAAAAAAAAGAAAAAAAAAAGAGACGCATTGCATTTCTGTTACACCTACAGGCACAGAGTTGTTCTGTCAGGCTGCTCTTCCGTGTTTTTTAATGCGGTTTGGTGCTATGGGTGTAATGCACACCCTGACAAATTGAGCCAGGGTGTTATTATGAAACATGCATGAGCTTTTTTGTGTAAGGATGTAAACAGAAACATACAGGCTTAGAGGGACTTTATAGCCAAGATTAAAAACATGCAACCAAATTATATCCATTTCATTTTCAGGTTGATATTATTTGGAAGCTTTAGAAATCTTCTATCTGTTAGGCCTTCAGTAGTAACCCGAGTCTGACAAACTCTACATGTGTTCAAAACCAAAAAAATGAGCACAAACCAGTTTTTCCATGTCAGACACATCAGCTGCAAGTGCTACACTTACTATGTTAGACTTTTGGAGTTGCAAGCCGAACGTTTATCTCCATAAATATCTCACTTCAGACACAAAATAAAAAAATATAAATTTGATTGTTATTGCACAGGCAGTAGATAACGTAACACAGCTAACCAGAGCCGTCCCCACAGTAATGTTGCAGAGCTTTGTTTCCCTCTGGTGGTCAGTTGTGTGCATGACTGTCACTAGTGTTTAATGCTCGCAAGATCATGAAAAAATCCTTTCAAAATGTTGTGTGCCCAAAAAATTGCTGCTCGTTTTCCTTTAGCCACCAGTATTATAATTAATATGCTACTGAACATTTCGCTATATTTTGTATATTTAAATATTTTTATGATAGCCAGATTGTTTTTTTAAATTTTTTTTTTAAAAATTCTTTATTTATTTATTTTTTTATGTAAGCAACACTTCAGGAGGACCAGGAGGTTAAAAGCATGAATCAAAGATGCGCAAAAGAAAGAAAATACAACGACAGCAACAGAAGGCAGCATTACTTCGCCTTCAAATTAAAGGAAAACTGGGGGCTTAACTTCTGCAGTGAACATTTATGCGTTCCTAAACACATCCATATCACAAAAATGACATCATACAAAATGATGCATTTCACTAAACACTACCATCACAAATCATCAACCGTACGCGCCAATCTTTATTTTGAAAACCTTAACCGGAAGCCCTTTTTTTTTTTTAATCCTACACTGCTTGAATCTGATGAGGCATCCCTGGAGCGCGCAGCGTAATTGCAGGTGGAAAGGCTGGGAAGCAAGAAGCGATATAAGCAGGTGTCAAGCCGGGTTCGGGTTCATGATACGTTCCGTTTTTCTCCTGGATTTCGGTTGTTTTTGTGTGTTTGTGTCCCCCCCGCCACCTTCGATGATCTACAATGCAGACCTCAGCTTGGCTCGTCGGTCGTTGCGCTCTCATCCTCTGCGCGCTCCTGCTGATGGACGGGGCGAAAGGACAGAAGCAGTGTACTGAGGTGAGGCTACAGTCAATCAGTCTGAGCTGTTTATCGCTATATCAGAATAACTGACTGTTTATATAGAAAAGAAAGAAAAGGCGAAAGGCTGCTGTGTCTGCGCACGCTTGAGCGAGTTATTAATCTAGTGATCGAACAGTAAACACGATTAAACATTGATGTCACATTTCCGGGTCGATTTACGGTGTAGGTTTGGAGTCCCACTTTATAATTTGCAGCATGTGTGAAGACGCACACCTCAGCACTGCTTTCTGTTTAAATAACGCGAACAACATGGAGGAGTATGAATCACTGTTCAGGTCTGGTGTTTGTTGAACTTCACCAGTCTGTGCTATTAAGTTATCAGTTTCCTGCATGAACTGGCTTTTCCTTCCCTCTGGTCTGGCACAGCTCAACACGTTCTGACACTAGGCTGGCAGCACAGCACAACACACACACACACACACACACACACACACACACACACACACACACACACACACAGAGGTGTCCCAAGATAGAGGAGCAACATTCCTCTAAGTCATTCTCTTTTTTTCACACTGACAAAGAGATTACTGCGGGCCTCCAGTTTGTTCCTCTATGGTGTTTAAATCATTGTGCAGCTTTAGCTCTTCTGGGGAGGGTGAGATTTACCAGAGCTGATATTTACGCTGAAAGAAATTTATTCCGAAGAGGACTTTGCTGAATCATGGTGTGAGATGAATATTGAACAGCTGCCACATCAGTGATTGACCACAGCACTTATGGGAGTCGCAAGAGATAACGAGGGTTTAGTGTTGCACAGTTCACAATCCTGTATTTATTTTTTGTATCACTACAGCAGTAAAAACAGTTTGTGTATTAATATGCTTGATTTAGCCTCATTTCTTGTGACCTTTATCGGAAAGCGTCTCTGAGCTCTAACCTTAGACCCACTTAAAACCAGGGAAAAAAATCACTCCGCACACAACAGCCTGCATGTGCCGGGGTGTCAAAATCTGGTTTGGCTCAAGGAATAGCATTATGTAAACTGTCAGAAATTAGGCCACCCGCCTCTGTAGACACAAGATGAGGAGAAGTGGAATCAAGAACACTGGGCCAGTGCTTTTCACTCATGGGCCACAGATTAAAACAATTACATGCAATAATCGAAGTCTAAGTGAGCCTACTTGAAATGTTAAAAGCTGCTGGTAAAATGACTCGGCCTCTTTCACCAGCAGCCCACTGCTGCCATCTCCCCTACTCCTATCGCCATGGAGATGGTTTGTTGTGACCAGGGGCAGAAGAATGGTTTTAGCTTTAGAGATTACACTGTGACTGGCACTCATGTTTTTCAGCCAATAGCAGCTGGATTCTGTAGGAATTCATTGTTAGTAGCAAGCAGTCTGCTCTGATTTGCTGGTGATTCTTATCTGGAAGAGATGATTCTGTGCTTTGGTTTGGGTGGAGATGTTTGCTGACCTGCCTCTGGCCTATGTTTACTCAGGTTTTATGTCCAAGCCTGCTATGTTGACTGACTTCTTATGTTTTGTGTGTCTCCCTGGCAGACTGATTACTACTTTGAGTACACGGAGTGTGACAGCACAGGATCTCGGTGGAGAGTGGCCATCCCACAGCACCCTGGGGCCTGTACTGGACTACCAGCGCCAGTGCGAGGCACAGAATGCAGTGAGTTAAGTGTGCGTGTGGAAAATGACTGAAGCTGATGTGTGTATGTCACCTTCTTATCAGTAGCTGGAACTTTCACCACCACAACCTGACTGAGTGTGTTTGGACGTCGACCAACCATAGAGTGAAGCTACAGGCCAATAACCTTGGAGCAAAAACGATGTTACGTAATATCTTTCTGTGCTTGCTACGAAACAAGGCACATAATTGATGGCACGTGTTGATGAAGGTTAGTGGTTGTTTAATGTGAAGTGAAAGGACAGGGAGATGTTAGTGTAGCTCCAAGAATGCACAGGTGCTCACTGACAAACATGTGTCCTCGAGGATGTTAACTCAAGCTCGTTTGGCGCTTTTTATTGGGCCATGTAACTAACCTTTCCAGTCGATGCTAATGTATGTTTTTTTTCTTAAGTGAAAATGTGAGTCATAGAGGGTGTTACTTTTTTCTTTTTGTAGTTTTTGTTTGACACTCTTATCATAATGGAGCCAAGATGACACAGTTTCATTACATGACGGAATGCTCATGCTGCTGGTCATACAAGTTTGGTCTTTATCATTCACCTGTACAGGTTTGCCCAGTGCTTTTATTCAACACCACCTCACTAATGGATCGAATCCAACAATAGGGTTCATGGATGCTTTCTTTTCTTTTACTGTTTTCAAACCTACATGTGTTATGTATGCATAAATTGTTTGGAAATTTTTTTATTTATTATTTTAATAATAATAGTGCCGTGAACTGGAATGCACTGAAGACTGAACTAACAAAATGCTTTCCATATCAGCACTGTTTCTCACCTTTTGTTATTTTAAACAATTTTTTGTTTCCTTCTTCCTCCTCAGACCACTATTTATATACACTGTTCTCATAGGTTCGTCATCTAATTCTAACTCTCATATGATATTTCAGTGTCATTCACTGTATTGAAATGGAGCACACCGCCCACTTAATGAACTTATCTGTCACCAGTTGTTATGTGTAACTATCAAAGTGCCTGCCAGAGCAAACTATTTTTAAATCTAGCCTTGAAGCAGTTGCATGCTCTCACATTTAGCATAGAGAAGCATCACAATGCCATTAGACCAGAACAGGTATGAGGAAGAACTGTCCTCATACCTGTTCTGGAGAAATGCAGAGACACAATGGCTCAGTGAGGGGAAAACGAGTACAAAGACGCTGTGTAACAGATGTAAGAATGCAGTTTGTCAATCACTGGGGTTACATTACATGTAATGGCTGATGCGACCATGCTTTTTGCTGTAGAAGGTTGGTAAATTCAAAAACTGTTTTCTTTCTTTCACTGTGTCCACTAGCCTTCTCGTGTAAGGCTGGAGAGTTCCTGGAGATGTCAGCTCAGGAGTGCACTCAGTGTGCAGCAGGAAGCTACTCCCTCGGTAGCGGTATCCGCTTCGACCAATGGGATTACATGCCTATTGGATTTAGTAGCCTAGCAACCTCCCTGGAGAACAGCCTACCGGGTTATAACAGCCTCACCTGTAACAGGTAATTGAGTAAGACATTTAAAAAAGGGAAAAAGTTGGGAAAAAATACTATGCTGGATTTATTTATTTTTTTCTTGTAGCTCTTCCTGGGTTCCTCAGGGAAACTATCTGGAGTCCAACAGGGATGAATGCACAGTCTCTCTCATCTATGCTGTGCATCTGAAGAAACAAGGCTCAGTTAGCTTTGACTACCAGTATCCTGACAGTAACCTGCTATTTGAGTTCTTTGTGAGTATTCGTTGCCTTTCAGTGGAAACATCTGCCATCACTTCATTATTAACTGTACAGTACTCTCTGTATATAGTAACCATTGTCCTTAATGTAAATATATAAGAAAAATTGTGGATGTTTCTGTTCTGTGTCCTGTGTACTGTTTGTTTGTATATGTGTCTTTTTGGCTGCTGTTACAACCAAATTTCCCCTTGTGGGACAATTAAATGGATTATTCTATTCTATTCTATTCTATTCTATTCTATTATTATTGCTTGTATATACATCTATCTATGCTATTTTATTTGTAAGAAGCCTGCAAGAGCTAATTAAAAAGTACTATAGATTGTGCTCAAGCTAAAGCATAGTTACATAGTTTTCTTACAGTTAATTCTAGTACTTCTTTTTTTTTGTATTTTCCCCTGTCCACTTATCAGTGTAGTGATGCGGTGTGTATGCATGAACATATAAACCATGCACAATGTTGTAACTGAAAATGAGTGTGAAAAAAAAAAAGGGGGAAGGTTTTGATCTGCTTGTGTGTGTTTAGATCCAGAATGACCAGTGTCAAGAAATGGATCAGTCTGATGACAAGAAGTGGCTCAAGCTCACCAAGCATGGCGAATGGGCAACTCATACGGTAAATGTCTCACAGAGCACGACGACGAGTAGACAGAAAGGGCAGGTTTTTAGCCTCGTTCTCCCAAATCAAATGTATTGTGTAACATCCACCGAGCGGATAGAAGCAGGAAGCGTGTACACAGAAAGGAGCTGTCATCATTTTATATTGTCTCCAGTAATTTTCCACTCATGCTGTAAATGAGCTTCTGCACGTACATATTTTGGTTTCTGCATTGTGAATTAAAATGTACAATTAAATGTAATATATGGATCTTCTTGAGATAGGTTTCTAGTGGTGGTACTGCTCCTTGCTTCTTCTCGCAGGTTAGATTAGATTTGTTTGGTTCAAGAAAATTGTTCTGCTATTTTAATTCCTTAATAAGAAAAAAAAAATGTATGAATTTACTTACGTAGCATTATACAGTGGGGCAAAAAAGTATTTAGTCAGCCACCGATTGTGCAAGTTCCCCCACTTAAAATGATGACAGAGGTCAGTAATTTGCACCAGAGGTACACT